TGTAGGTAGCAATTTCTTTTTATTTATTTGATTTTGGTTGATCATTGTACTTATTTACTTATTGTTATTATCATAACTATTTGGCTATTGTAACTATTCAGTGAAAGTCATTGAGATGCATAGACTTCCAGTCTGGTTAATTTTAATGTTTTTTAATTTTAAAGATTTTTACTTGCAAAAAAAAAGATTTTTACTTGCAAGTTTTTTATGATAAAGTTTCAGATAGTAATTTTAAGTAACAAAGTGGTTCTTGCTAAGAAACAGGCAAGTGGGGCCTGTGAGATGGCTCAGGGTCTCCAGGTGAATGAGGACAGGCAAGTCACTATCAGAAGACTCACAGACTCATTCCTTCCAGAGCGGACATTACTGATCCCCGCCCCCACCCCCGATGATTCTTGAAGAAAGGAAGTGATTTCCTTAAGCTTTCTAAATTGGGGCTGGGCATAGTGGTATATATCTTTAATCCCAGCACTTGGGAGGCAGAGGCACCCAGATCTCCGTGAGTCTGAGGTTAACCTGGTCTACAGAGTGAGTCCCGGACAGCCAGAGCTACTTAGTGAGACCCTGTCTCAAAAACAAAACAAACAAACAAAAGAGAGGGCAGAGATTACAAAGTTTGGCTGTGCTAACTGGAAGAGGCACTAAAAATGTCCAGGCTCACACACTAAAACATGCCCAAGGGACATAAGAATGCAGAAGACTACATGCTAAGCCAACAAATCACCAAGTGCACATCTGGACAGTTGGCAGATGACAACCCACAAGGAAAAGTTCTGCAAGTGGCAAGAAGACAGGAAACGTGGTGGCAAAATGACCCTATCTTAAGGACAGGGCAGGGAAACAGCGATTGTGGCAGCCATGTTTCCCAGGAGTGGACTGACCCTATGAATGAGATGCTGCCACTTGGTACAGACACAGCAGGGTGGCCGCACTCAAGGTAGGGTTCTCTTCACTAAACCTTTCCAGGAGAATTTTTTCACACAGAAGCAAGGATGAGCCAGAGGGAACATGAAAGTGCATGGTAACATCCATCTAGCAAAGTGACCTTTAAAAGACAGCAGAGCAACCAACAAAACAAAACAAAAAACCCCACAGCACCAGCCCTCCGTGCGCATGAGCACAAGACAGGAGCAGCTTGCATGTCCTCAGAAAGAGGCTTATAACCTAATTGTGCAGAATAAACTGGTGGGAGACGGAGAATGAGGAGCATCAGAAATTTCAGTTTATCCTCAGATACCCATGGACTTGAAGGTTGAGCTCGGCTACAGAAGCCCCAGCTTCAAACAAACAAACAAACAAATTGTTTGGACCGGTGATTCCCAGGAGAGGGTGAACGATAGGACGGAGTGGAGTGAGAATTTTCATTTTTCAGCGGTATAATCCCTTCTATAGTGCTGGTTTATTTTACTTTATTTTGCTGATATTCAAAGAATTAAGATATGATATAAACCGAAGTTTAAATTTTTCTTTGTGTGTGTGTGTGTCTTTGTGTGTCTGTGTGTATATATATATGTCTGTGTGTGGTGGGTGTATGTTTGTATGTGAGTGTGTATATGTATGTATGTAGTGTGCCTATGTGTGTGTGCCTGTAAGTGAGTGTGTGTGTGAATGTCTATGTGTGTGTCTGTATGTGGGTATATATGTGTGTCTGTGAGTGTGTATATGTCTGTGTGTGAGTGCATCTATGTGTGTGTGTGTCTGTATGTGAGTGTGTCTGTGTGTGTCTGTGAGTATGTCTGTATGTGAGATTGTGTGTCTGTGTGTGAATATGTGTGTCTGTGTCTGTGTATGAGTGTGTGTGTGTGTTGACGGGGGGTTGATTAGAGGACAAGTTACAGGCATATATTCTCTTTCTCTTGCCTTCCGGGACTGAACTCAGGTCATTGGTCTTGGTAGCAAGCACTTTTAACCACTGAGCCTTCTCACCAGCCCATACTTAAAAATCTCTAAATAAATGGTTGTGTCTCGGAGTTCATAGGTCTCGGAGCTCTGTACAGTCTAATTCCTGCCAGACTCAGCTACACACTCTGGTTGTCTACAAGCATGGCTACCTATAGCCCTCAGACAAGCTGGCTTAAAATTTAGAACCGGTTCGTGGAAGCCAAGAGGGAGAAAAGCAACACAGGCTCTGCTGCCTTCCTAGTCTACTCCTGCACATTCAAATTCCAACAGTAGAAGCCCAACCAGCCTTCCTGGTTCATGAGGCCCAGAGCGACAACTCCACAGCGTGGAAGGCTACACAAGGCCAGAGGTCAGCTCCAAACTAGTCCTAATAACCAGTATGTATGCTCCCGGCTGCAGTGTTAGCTGCAGGCCAGCAGGACCTCTGCTGGGGTTCAGAGACGTGGTCCTCAAAGTCCCAGCAGTGAAAGACTTTTTCTCCAGCCTACTATGCGGCAGAACCTAGGTGGTGGAACCTGTAAAAGCTGGGGACTGGTAGGAGGATTTAGATCACTGGGGTGTGTCTGTAAAGAGGTTAAGACCCTTATCTCTTCCTTTCCCCCCTTTTCTGGCTATGATGTATCAGAACAGCATTGCTCTGCCACACACTTCTACCAGGAAGTGCCAAAACAATTGATCTGATCAGTCATAGACCGAACCACCAAAACCCCCAGTCGAAAGCAAGGCTCTTTCTTCCTGGGAGCTGTCTCTGTCGTTGTCACAGTGATGGAAAACTGGTGGGCACAGCCTCACACGAGCATCATCAGCCCCTGTCCTCCTCTCAATCAGCCATGTTTCCTGCCGTCACAGAAAGTAGGCAGAGCTGGTTTCCCTTGCTGGCCATTTATGAACATTGATACTACTATGTACAATCCTTAGTTCTATCAGGACTTAGTCCTGCTTGATTTCATACAGATCTCAACACTGGATACACAGTGGGAAGTATTTGCCATCACCAAGATTTTCAGATTGCTGGAAAAGAAGGAAGGCAAGAGAAGAAATCATATCCATTACTGCCTCTCCCATACCGTCTAAGACAATGGCTCTCAGAACTCACTGAGAACACGTGGTCAGAGTCTTGGTACTAGAAAGTTCCATCATCTTAAAGCAAGAAAGAGAGCATCCTGCTGCATGCCACAGCTAAGGAAGCTGAGACCCCAGTGGTAAGAGCTGGGATAGCTAAGGTTATCATTTAGGAATGCTGGCTAATGTCCAGATGTGCAGGACAGAGATGTAGCTCAGCGGCACTGTGTGCAAGACCCTAGGGTTGATCTCCAGCATGGAAAAAAAACGGGGGAAACCCCACCAAAAAGAATGTTTGCCTAGAGTTCAGATGTTCCCACATTGAGTCCAATGATCTTTCTTGTGCTCAATGAATGAAGAATGAATGAATGAATGAATGAGTGAACGAATGAATGAATGGATGACTTTACCACACAATCTGCACATCCAAAGGGAGTCAGAAACATGATTGTTTGGTTAGACCACATTTGCCAGTTTAAAATTTCTCCATTTTAGTTGAATGTTCTCATTCATCAACTTATTTTTGGGCAATTAAAATTTTCAGATACTGCATATTCTTCCTAGATAAATTAGATTTTTAAGAGGTAATTCCAGATTATCCCATAATCTACAATTTGCATCAAAAGCTACCTCTCAATTCCAGCGCCTTTTTACAGGCCAATGATGAAAGGCACAAATCCTTCATTTGATGTTAGTGTTGTGTACCAACTTTAAGATAAATAGATTTTAAAAGTACTATATGCAAATGAGTTCCATATGACTCCCGGTAATCCAGAGTAAGAACTGTAAACCACACTGTCCTGTAAGAGTCTTAATTTTGTTTTCTAGGTATCTTCATTTTTCTTCCTCCCTTCCTTCTTTCTTCCTTCCTTTTTCCTTCCTTCCTTCCTTCCTTCCTTCTTTTTCTCTTTCTAACTGAACATCCATTTAGCAGCTTTGAATTTTGTATTTTTCCTTTTCTTGCTCGGCCTCAGGGGGAAAAAGATTTGAGAAGAAAAATAGAAATGGACACAAGATGGAGAAAGGGGTAGTAAGCTACACAGAACCTGTGAGAAAGAAATTGTCTAATTCCTGGGGTTGGAGGGAAATGTGCCAAGGTGTGGTAAGGAAATGCCTGCCTGTCAAAGCTCTAGTTAAGCAGGGCGCCCCCACCAAGAAGTGAGATGGTGACCTTACTAGGACCATGGCCAAAGGGAAAAGAGAGGAAGCCCCCAAGTCCAGGTTTGCCCCTGCCCTCCTGCCTGAGCTGCTATCACCTGCCTCGCCTGGAAGAAGGAGGGTGTTTCACCCTTCCTGGTCCTCCTCCACCGCAAACACTGTTAGTGTCGTAAATAAGTGCTTGGAATTCCAAGAGGCTTTTTGAAGACCGGCCAGTCTAAACCTTCCTCCCTTGTTCCGCCGAAGAACACCGTGACGCGAAGGAGTGAAGTCATTTGCCCAAGGTCACATAGCCAGACGCCCGAGGTGTCGAGGTGTCGGTGTGCGTGCTTCAGAGCTCCTTCGGGGTGGGCAATCCCAAAGTTACAGAACATATCCAAACATCCCAACTCCTGGAGATGCGGAACATTAGAAAGAGTAGCTTCATTACGTTCCAAAAGTCCAAAGGACAGTAAAAGCAGCATCGAACTAGTCAATAGGGTAATGGTGCCTCTAGCAGTTAATGAGTCGCTCCTCTTCTTCCTCCGTTACTCATTTCTCACAAGGGAGAAAGTTTTAAAACTGCACCCTCATCCTTGGACACAAACTTTGAACCAGCAAAGCCCTTCATACCAGAACTCAAGAGAGTGGCAAATAGAGGTTCCCCGCAACGCAACGAGTTTACAGAAATGTCCGGTCATTCACTGAGTCTCAAAGCCCTAGAGCAAGTTAACTGCCCTCAGCAGTGATCCGAACCTGCCCTGCCCAGGTAAACATGGAACCGCCAGGGGAAAAGAGAGTCGCTTCACCCTCCGCCAACTGTTATTTGAAAAGAACGAGTTCCAAGTGCCTCGCCTTCAAGAAAAGGGCTTCAGAATGAGAAGAAAACGTTGTCTTACCCTTAAAGATGACAGAAACGATAGGATCCGGTTTCCCAAATTTCGTTTTAGGGATGTTAGTGGCAGATTCCACAATCACTCGAAGCATGGCTCTTAGAGAAAGCAAGTTGCTGCCAAGCGGCGGAGAAGACGCTGGCGCTGGCGCTGGGCCCTCCGCCCTAGGAGAGGATGTCTCCAGGCTAGGGGAGGGTTTCTCCAGGGCTGGGAGGGTGGAGGAGGCGGGGTGGGGTGGGGGCGCTCTGGAGGATTATTTGCTGAAGGCCCTGTGTAAACTGATATCCACACTCCCAGAGTCCACGCAGGGCCGCAGGCACGGCTCATGAATTCAGAAAATGTGGACCTGAAAAAGGACACCACGACGAAAAGTAATTTTGTGCAGCAAATGAAACAGTGATGGATTCGGGACGAACGGCAGGCAGTTCAGGAAAACCACAGGAATGTTGTTTGTCTCTTAGTAGTAACTCGGGAAATCTAATTTGTTGTTTTCCTACCACTTCTTTCACTGTTTACCGAGTTTTGTGGAGTTTTAAAACTACTTAGACTGGGTTTAATTTTGCTTTTGCCTTTTCCTCTCGCGCTGGTGGACACGCCCCCTCCGCAACTTTAAAGGGTTTTTAAAAAGCTGCCAAGAGGCGCCCCCTACTGCATGGTGCAGGAATAGCTGGGTTAAAGTCCGGGACCTGAAAGAAATGGATTATACAGATTTCACTATCTTTGGTCCCTTTCCTTCCCAACAGATTCGCTGTAGGAACCCTTCGAAAGTAGGATCCTAGTTTCTGTGGGTCACGGAAAGATAAAAGTCTTCAGTGAAAATGGAGAAGGGGCTGTCCACTGTTGTCAGTATACACTGTCTGCTCCTGAAGAGGGTGTCGTAAGGCTATATGCATCCTGACTGTTAGAGCACATAAGATGCACTTTACTACTTTCGAGAGCTACATCATGGGGAAAAGTTCTTAGCCACTCTCTCCTTCCATGCCCTTATTTGTAAACAGATATAAGTAGATGTGTGTTGTAAGACGCAAGACCTGTGGGACCTGACAGGAAGCATGTAGAAAACCACAGTTGTCTTGCTAGAATTTCATAATTTCCACAGTCTTACTGTTAATGCACGTTGGTAAATCAGATCATTGTGTTTCAGAATGGCCAGACCAGACTGTAAAAACATAGAACCTATTTTTGCTTCTGGCATACAACCAAGAACCAACTGGAAGCAGACAGTGCAAGTGTCTTGGGAAAGTAGTACTAAACTTAGAGAATTTTATCTCAGGATGTTTCTCAAATTCTTGTACAAAGTCGGAGTTATAGAAAGAATTGTATTTGGTGGCCACAGAAAGTCTAAGTGGCGTTTAGAAAAGAATAATTTTAAGTGTTTTTCTCCTTTTACTGTGAAATACATGTCTCTAAAAACAAATACATCATAAATGTTACCACTTAACAACCCTCAATGTCATGACAGAGGATGTCACACCGCACAAGCCACTAGGTGTACTGCACATGTGAAAGGCTTGTTTGTTTGTTTTTTTTTTTTTTTTAAGACACTGTTTCTCTGTAGCTTTGGAGCCTATCCTGGAACTCACTTTGTAAACCAGGCTGGCCTCGAACTCACAGAGATCCACCTTCTCTGCCTCCCAAATGCTGGGATTAAAGGTGTGTGCCACCACTGTGCAGCATGAAGGGTGTTTTTATCCTCTGGAAAATCACCCTGATTTTTATTTATTAAGTTAGTTCTTTGGCAATTTCATACATGTAAATAATGCATTCTGATTACATTCTCACCACTCCATCCTCTCTCTCTCTCTCTCTCTCTCTCTCTTCCGTTCTTTCTTTGTTTTTGTTTTGTTGTGTTTTGCTTTGCTTTCAAAACAGGGTTTTTCTGCTTAGTCCTGGCTGTCCTGGAACTCACTTTGAAAACCAGGCTGATGTGGGAGTCCCCTCTGTGTGTTGCTTGCATTGGTTAATGAATAAAATGAATAAAGAAGCTGCCTTGGCCTGATAGGGCAGAACTTAGGTAGGCGGAGAAGACAGGACTGGATTCTGGGAGGAAGAAAGCAGAGTGAGGGGATGCCACGGATCCGCCGCAGGAAATAGATATGTTTTTCTGGTAAGCCACGTGCCAATACATAGATTAATGGAAATTGGTTAAATTAAAATAAGAGTTAACCAATAAGAAGCTAGCGCTAATGAGCCAAGCAGTGTTTTAATTAATACAGTTTCTGTGTAGTTATTTCAGGGCTGAGCTAGCCGGGCAGCTGGGACTAACAAGCGGGCCCTCCTTACTACACCAGGCTTGAACGGAGATCTGCCTGCCTCTGCCTCCAGAGTGCTGGGATTAAAGGTGTGTTTATGCCACCACCACCCAGCTCCCCAACCTTTTCTTATACCATTTTCACTCATCAATTCTTCCTTTCTCCTTTCCTAGATTTATGACTTTTATTTTTGTGACCATCTAGTTTAAACAGAGCCATTTGGGGGACCACTGAATGAGGACTTTCCATTAGAGCCTGGTGGAGCCACCAGTAGACACACAACTTCCTGTCTTCAAACCTATCAGAAGCAAAGAGTCCATCGAGAAGGAGTAGGGCTCTCTGAGCCCTTCCTCCATCTGCGGCTGGTTGTTGATGTGTGTGCAAAAATATTAGTTCACCTCTAGGTTCCTGGAGGACGTGTCATTTCGAAGACACTAGAGAACACACTGGTAGAAAGGTACTGTCATTCCCAAGAACTCCAGCCCTCTGTAGGCCATAGGGTCTGTGTCTTAGAGTTTCTGTTGGTGCGATAAACCCCCATGGTCATAAGCAGCATGGGAGGAAAGGGTTGATTTCATCTTACATGTTGAACCTCATCATTCTGGGAAGCCAGAGCAGGACCTCACTGAGGCAGGAAGTTATGAGAGGTTATGGAGGAGTTCTGCTTCCTGGCTTGTTCCTCATAGTGTGTTCAGCTTGCTTTCTTCATCATCCAGGGCTACCAGCCCTGGAATGGTGTCACCCACGGTGAGCTGGGCCCTTCCACATCAGTCATCAATCAAAGAAAATGCCCCACTCCTTTTGTGTGAAGTCAACTGGGCTAATGTCAGTGGGGATGACAAAACTCCGGAAAAACAAATCACAAGGGTGGTACATAAATCTCTGCAGCATGAAAAATTAAAAACCCAGAGACAGCTATCGGGGTTCAGGCTGAAGATCAGAAAAGCAGAGCAGTAAGCCACTAGAGAGACCTTTTACCTCTACCAAGGCTCAGACCGAAGGAAGGGGAGATCCTCCAGACTGCACTGAGTCTCCCCCAAACTTCAGACTCCACTCTCCACTGAGTTCCTAGCTCTTCTTATTTTTTTTTTTTTTTTTTTTTTTTTTTTTGATTTTTCGAGTCAGGGTTTCTCCGTAGCTTTTGGTTCCTGTCCTGGAACTAGCTCTTGTAGACCAGGCTGGCCTCGAACTCACAGAGATCCGCCTGCCTCTGCCTCCCGAGTGCTGGGATTAAAGGCGTGCGCCACCACCGCCCGGCCTAGCTCTTCTTATTTATATTCCTCTCTCTGCTCAGCCATATTGCTCGTCTCCACCTCCCTAGTGCTGGGATTAAAGGTGTGTGATCCCCAAATACTGGGATTAAATTGAATAGAAATGGGTTAATTTAAGATATACGAGTAAGCCAGAAATACGCTTAAGCCAAACAAGAAGCCAAGTAGGGGTTGACATTCCAACTGCAGGAGCTTGATCTGTGTTTCCTGGAGAAGAGTTTGAAAAGAGAAACTCTGGGAGTGGGGGCAGCTGCAGGGGTTTGTGGGGGAGTTGGGGAATGTGCCGAGACAGCTGGTCAGTTTGTTCCAGTCTGACATCACAGTGGCTTGTGAAGTGTGTGTGTGTGTGTGTGTGTGTGCTGCAAATGCGATTAAACATGTGTCCGTGTGTCTTTGTGTGTGTGTACTGTGTGTGTCTGTGCCTGTGCTGCTTGTGTGTGTGCCTATGTGTGTCTGTGCGGGAGGTGTTCTGGTGTTAGATGGTGTTCCTTACTTTTCTCACTACTGTTACAAAACTCCTGACAAATAACTAAGCTGGGGAAAGGAAGTGCTGGGCAGAAAATCATGGTGGTGGGAATGTGTGGTTGAGGAAACAGAGAAAAAGAAGATGCAAGAAGGGGCCAGGTTGGGCGGTGGTGGTGCCTGCCTTTAATCCAGCACTCAGAAGGCAGAGGCAGGTGGATCTCTGTGAGTTTGAGATCAGCCTGGTCTACATAGCAAGTTCCAGGACAAGCTCCAAAGCTACAGAGAAACCCTGTCTCAAAAACAAGAAGGGAGCAGGATGAAATGCAGTCCTGAGAATATGGTTTCCAACCAAGCCCTACTTCCCACATTTCACTGTTAGGAATATTTCCTAACACAAGCTCCCTGCTGATGCAAAAATTCCCAATCAAACCAGATCAAAACAAGCCGAATTAAGAAATATCCAGGTTTAATGGGAGTTCTGCACTCTTGGGTAGCCTGGATGGGGAAACTGGAAAGCTGGAAAGCAAGGGAGACCATGTGTTTCTCTTTGGGGGATCACTTAAATACCCTGGGGAGTGGTCCTGACCCCATTCCCCAGGGAGGGTCAGGACCTGGCCTGCTGGGATTTGGAGTCCAGACCAGGCCTGGGGGCTGGGATAGATGCAAGGGGCTGGGACCTAGGCTCCCAACTTGACATTCACTACCCCTCAGTAATGTCATCCTAAAAAGAATTCATTCAAGGATTCAGCCATTGACAGCCCCTTCTGTCTATGCTCACAGTGCTGTCCTACAGGAGTGTAACACAAGTCACATTTGCCATCTTAGACGTCCCAGTAGTCACACTAAAAAAATAAACACAACAGTTCAGACTGATTTCAGTGTCAATCCAGAGTATTATGATTTTTAATATATAAGATAAATGAGAATTAGTAGACTCTTTTATATTCTTTTTTTACACCAAGACTTTAAAATCTGATATGTGTCCCAGATATCAATTTGGACATAAAATTTTCATCAGACGTATTTGATCTAGATTTAACTTTTATAAGACTTACAGTTCAAAAGATACGCATATGCCTTTTCTTTAAATCACATTTTTTTTTAAAAAAAATTTTGTGGCAAGACCTTATTTCAAATGACTCATAGAGTCAGTACTCTTCTTCTTTGTGGCTCCTGAGGATCAAAC